TAACCCTCTTTTTCCATTTCCACTCATTAAAAGAGTTTTTGGGTTGAAATTGTATAAAAAGATTTGTTGGGGCTAATTTTTATGATCAAAAGTCCATAAAAGTGAAAGATAAGAGATGAGGGGGTATGGTGAAATTTTTAGGGGTTTTTTTATGCTGCTTGAAAGAAAAACGAAAAGAGGGTCTACCATGAAATAATACGAGGAATTAGGGTTTTGTACGAAATTTTCCCTTTCTTTTTGCTGTCACTAGATATTTATATTTCCAATTAATCTACCTTCACCAATAATTTTTGGAACATTACATTTTGAGTTTGTTGCATCTGTTTTTGCAACATGCAATAATGCCATTGGTTCACAGTTCTGATACCTTGATTTGCATGCAAGATCTCAACATGGTGAAGCACATGATAATGCCATACTGATGTATTATGGCTTTAATGACTGATATACCCAGTTGACGAGAAGAGTTTCAAAATGAGAATCTAGTAAAAAACTTTTATAGTCAGCTTAGCAAAAAAAATTATTTCATGTTGTATATGTGGTTGGCAATGAATGAGAGACGGTTTGCAACATCCTTCATCCAGAAAATTTTCGTACGTTATGGAATTTCTAATTGTTTTATTTGTTAACTAGGTACACAGTTATAATGAAAACATAATCAATTGTACATTTTTATATGTGAGAATTAAGTTAATGAACCAGATGATTTGTATTTTCTTTTTCTTCTTTTTCAGTTGTCTGGTTTGACCCACTTTTGTTTGATAAACCAGATGACCTATATTTTATTTTTCTTCTTTTTCAGTTTGCTAAATTGACACACTTTTTTTAATGAGCATTTTGGTTTCCCCCTTTGCATCCTGACCCACTTTTGTTTGATAAGTATTTTGGTTTCTCCCGTTGCTTCCTGACTGTGTTGGCACCTATTTATGAGTGTAGGCAAAGCCATATCTGCAAGCTGGAGCATTTGAAATTGTGGATGATAACCTGAAGGGCATCTTCGATTTGGAAAGTATGAGAAAGGTAGCTCTTATTGCCTCAAGATCAGTGGAGAGAGATGCATCCCAGAGACCAACCATGGCAGAGGTCTTATCAGAGCTCAAAGATGCCTATAGCATTCAGCTTGCATCCCTTGCTGCTAGTGGACATTCCGGTTGACTGTTATTCTAGTTATTTATTTCGCCGGCCTATTCTACCGTATATTATACACCCTCACGCATGAACAATCACTCTAGAAGATCACATATTAGGGTGGATGGTTCAGAATTCTCACGATTACATTCTGTTCATGTTGACTATCCACCCCATCGACCATATGGTGGAGAGCATTTCTTTCTCAGAAACATAAATTATGGGTATGTGTGTAAATTCTTTTCAACTGACTATTTATGATGTATTTTGCTGTATTTAAATATGATCTATGATTGAATATATTCATTTCCGAGCTGGGGAATGCGAATGCTCGAATTGTCTTATAGATCATCTTTTTGTTGTTGAATGATGTGAGATAAACGCAAATTGTTGCGGGTCTTAAGCTGTCGTGCTAATAATATTTTTGGTCAGAAGCTTTTCTTTGCAGTCCAGGCTCTTGCTTCGTGTCCTATTGGCCTTCATAACTAGTCACGTACTTGGGTCATATAATCTATTCAAAACTTTCCTTATCATTTTTTATTGAATCTCAGTATAGTTGGCTTGAGAGAAGTTGGAAATTTTTGTTAATTCGTAGCGCAAAATCACAATGCCTTGTGAAAATAGTGACTGTTGTCAAGGTATGTTCTCCTATCTTCTACAAGATCTATCCGTAATGGTATGTGCCACTAGGTACAGGAAATATATATACATTCCTCTTCCTGTCATGCATTCTGAATAGACGGTTGAGATGGCCCCAATCACAATGTCATGCTTAAACACTATTTTATTTTTATCTTTTATAAAAATCATGTTGACACCAATTTGGGCGTCCAATACTCTCATAGGCCTGTACCTACAAAAATATTTAAAAAAAAATTAAAAAAATAAAATGACCAAAATATTCATAAAAGATTTTTGGGCATTTTTGTCATTTATTTTTATGGAAATATTTTTTTAGTATTAATTTAGGTGCTCATTGAGACGTCACATGCACCAAATTGCATTTTCATCTGATTTGTAAAACAAATTAAAAATAAAATACTTAAATCGTTAAATCTAAGATCATACGGTCAAAGTTCGCATGTGATATTATGGTTGAAGGTATACCAACCGTTCATTCAGATCCGACAGTTGGGAGAGATTGGCATATATAAATTCTCTTTCTTTCGTTTTGGGTTTCTCTTTCTTTATTTTTAAGTAATTCAATGGGGAAGATAGGTCCCTATTATTGTAAATAGTTAGCGATCTTTTGAAGCAGTCAATGAGATTGGAAGGCACAACATGCAACTGAGGTAAGGCGTATGCTACGACCATGACCTATCCCTTTTCCCAGTATATATAAATTTCTAGTATACAAAAAGAATAGTCTTTAATAAAAACAAGGAAATATTGGGAATCCTTTTTTTTTCTATTTTTTTTGAAGCTTCTGTTATTTTTCACTAATTTCCCTTTTAACTTTTTTTTTCGCTTTTATTCCTCTTTTCTTTTCCCACGATTTTCCATCATAGAGGGCCGTCACCATTGTATAAAGCAAGGAGTTCTAACCTTTATTTTGTGATTTTAATCCTTGATGGCAAATATACAACTATTTAATTCCTGAAAAAAAATGTCGGCATTTTTTTGCATTTTTTTTCCTATCCAAACTGAAGCTTGTCCCTTACTAATGAAATCTTAAAAACCAAAATTTTGAGAAGGGTCTTCTTGGGCTTTGGTGAGACTTGCTTTTCATGAAGTTGCCATTTGGTTCCAGTATTATCCCTAGAACAAAACATGTCTATCTCACTAACACAAAATAAGTGCCTTAGCATTGGATTACACATTATAAATTTAAATTCATAAGGAAAAAAAAGAAAAGAAAACAAGAAATACAATAAGGATAGGGGAATGCAAGAAAGTGTATAATAAGACCATTACTTTTGGTCTGAGGTCATAATTGCTTTAGCTGTTAGATGTGAATCGGAAGGCCAAAGTTATTCAATTGAACGTGCTAAAAGTTTTAGAATGTTTTTCTCAAACTTTGTGGAGAAATGACATACCCTTACCACCATTGATTTCACATATGATGGTTAAAGGTGTCTATGACCACTTTGCAACAATGACCAACGGTGTTATAACATACAATCCTAGGGAATGCATTACACAAAACATATGAGCCATACACTGTCTCACAGAGAACGCATGGTAAAGATAAACAGTTGTGTGGGAATATGGCCTTTGCATTGTCCATTCTTTGAAGGGTGAGGTTTGTATAAGGTGTCAACCTTAAACAATCATGGCAAGGTGCACCTCAAAATCTCACTAAAAGATGTATTTTCAGTGCTAAAACTTTTATCATGATCTGAAAGTCTATTTTTCACCCTTATAATAAAATTGAAAGATCCAAAAATTGTGCAAATCTAGCAAATCTATGAGCACTTAAAAATATTGAAAATGGACGGTCTAGCTAATGTGTTATAAGATGGACTAACTTTAGGATTTGAAATTCATTTTTTCTTTCATATCCATATATATAGAGGTCAAAATGATCAATTAGAGAATTTTCTAGTGACAAAACAACTTTTTACAATGGGTTTTTTAGGAGCACCGTACTTCTACAATATAGGGTTAACACCTTATATAAACTTTTTCCTTCTTTGAATATTCTGGATCTCATGCTTGTGGACATTCCATAATGCATCTTGCACACTACGGTACAATTATTTGAATGAATGAATAAAATGTGCTGATTTCTTTAGGATGTGAGCTTTTGGAGTTTCACCCATCATAGCTAAGCTGAGAGAATGTGGACACTCTTGCTCATCTATAAGGTAGGTCAAGGTCCCAAATTTATGAGGAAATTATACAAGTATCCATATGGTAATGAATGGTCCTGATAACAAAACCATGTGGATTATCAACGCCCAATCGATGTGTTGGACGGTGAGGGAGGGCGAGAGTTTTGGTCGGACCCACTCCCCTCCATCACCATGAAAGCCATTGATGGGACTGTGATAATCTCATGGTATTATTATAACCGTATAGATCCGAGTTTCTGGTGGGCAACAATGAAAGCAAGGCAAATATTTCCATTCATTACTTGCAGATTGAAATAAGCTCAACAATTGAAAGCAATTTCATGGATCTGAGAAATTTCATCTTGCTAGGGACATGTTGGGGTGACCAGTTCAAAACAATAGCCAACTAAGCTAATTACTTGATAATGTCCAAACTTGATCAGATTTTTGTTTGAGAGTTGGATGAATGCATTTCCTATGGCATGTGCCAAATCTTTGTCTAAATTATGCTCTGACCACACACCCATATTACTTTATACAGATGAAGAGAAATGGGCGCTTTGGACATTTAGATTTGATATTTCCTTGGTTGGAAGATAATAGGTTTGTAGATTTAATTTACAATACTTGGTCTATAATAACTGTGAATGGTATTATCAATTAAGGAAGAAACTGGATAGCATCAGACCCAAATTGATTGAATGGAAAAGGCAAAATAACTTTCATTTGAGGTCTAAGATAGACGAGGTGCTCTCAAAAAATTTCAAGATACAGATATGAAATAACAAGAATGTTTAACCATATCAGCAGAAAGTGTAGCTGAGAGAAACCAGTTAACTTGTTTCTTGTATGATTTGCTTAGAATGGAGGACATTTACTGGAGGCAAAGGTCTAGAGTAAAATAGCTCATGTAGGGTGACGTAACTACAAAATAGTTTTATTCTATAAAAAATGCTAGAAGGCGTAGTAACATCATGATCGACCATAGAAGGTAGAGAGGAAGAGGATGTGGAAGGACATGGAAAGGGAGATAATTAGCCACTTCAAAACGGCTTTCTCTAGTGAGCAACCTTTTAAAAGTGGATTTCAAGTGTGCCTTTCAACTCTTTATCGTATCCTTAAGCTTTGAGATTGGAGTAAGATATTTATATAGAAGAGCGAAAAAAAGTAGTTTTTTCATTGGTAGGAGATAAAGCCTGGGGGTCTAATGGATTTCCTCTAATTTTCTTTCAAAGATTCTGGGAGATGGTTAATGGTGAGTCGTTTCTTATGGTCGAGGAGTTTCTCGAAAGAGGCATTCTTAGGAGAGGCATTAATTCAACTTCCATTGCCCTCAAACCTAATAATTTGTGGCTGCTAATCTCTATGATATACAGCCCATTAGCCTCTTGACAAGACTATAAGATTATTGCTACAATTTTGGTAAAAAGGCTTTTAAGCTAGTGTTCCCTCAGATCATAGGGCCACAGTCTGCCATCATCAAAAGTAGGCTTATCACTGTTGCCATTTTAATTGCTCAGGAGTGCATTCATAATTGCTCAGAAGTGCATTCATAATTGCTCAGGAGTGTATTCATTCAAGGAAACAAGAGCATAGACCAAGTATTTTTATTAAAATAGATATGGAGAAAGCTTATAATGGGGTGGACTGGAATATCTTCCCAAAAATTATGAGAACGCTGGTCTCGAGAATAAATGGAGTGGGATAAATGGGTAACGCTCATTTCTAATTGTTGATTAATAAGAGCCCTAAGAGTTACTTTAAAGCCACAAATGGAATTCGACATGAATTCTTGTTTTTGATAGTGGCTGAAGGCTCTAATGTCATGTTGAAGAGGTGGAAAATCATGGTTATTCTCATGGTTTTAAAGTTTCGAAATAGGCCTCAAGCATCTCCAACTTATAATATGCAGATGACACGTTGATCTTTTGTGACGCCCAAGTTGACCAGAAGTGATACGAATTCGACATTTTTTGCAATTTTATGATGTTGAATTGGGTCTAGAAGTCAACTTGCATAAAACACTGTGACTAGTGTTGCTTGTCCGCAGGCGATGGTTTAAGGGCAGGGGACGTTAATTATAAAGTCAATGGATTCCCAATCAAATATTTACGTATATGCCTCTTTTTGACTCAAGGTTGTTGAAAGTAGTCTGGGATCCTTTTATCCATCGATTTCAATTCAAATAAGATTTATGGAAGGCTAAATTTTTATCTCTGGGTGGCAGAATTACTTTGGTCGAATCAACACTTTCCAACTTGACCCAATATCAGATATCTTTATTTATGCTTAATTCTGTAGTGAAGGAACTCAAAAATATGGTGAGAAATTTCCTTTGGGGAGACTTTGATGAAGGATGAATCATTTAGTGTTGTGGGATAAGGTTCGTACACCCAATAATTAAGGTAGTTTGGACATTAGACGTTTAAAGCTAAGTGAATAATGCTCTAATGGCAAAATGTGGTGGAGTTGCTCCTTATGGGAAGAGCAACTATAGAGACAAGTAGTGGCCAAATATATTCTTAATAGAGATCTGATTTTTATCAAAAATAGAAGAGGGGTTAATCGGCGATCACAAATTTGGAATGGTATT